AGCGGCTGCGCAGCACACTTCAGGCGAAGAAGCGTCGAGTGGATATGTTAAAAATAAAAAAGACGATTGCCGGAAGTTCGTGTTATTTATCGAGGAATGCAGCCCTGTAAATTTGAGCGATAGATATAAATTTAGGTCGTGGTAAAATGTGTAATAATTGAAGTGATGCAGCGGTGAAATTCACTGATTTAATAAATTAATGTATCAGTATTGATTTATTTCTCTTTTTTTTTTTACAAAAAATGCATGACAATCCAATCGCACGCTTAATGTTAAATGCATTATCTGATTACAAATGAATATTTCGATTCTGAATAATTTGCGTTTATCCTGTCAGCGGCTCGATCCTAGGCAGTCGTAGCACTCGGTCGGGCCTGCAATTTCAGTCCGGTCACTCGGTCGCATCCCTCGATCGAGTTGACTCGAGTCCGATCGAGCGTTCAAGTCCATACGCATCGCTCGAAAAATTGCAGGAAAATTGAAATAAAGTCGCAGCCTTCGCTACTAGATGGCGAGGTACTTTTATCTGCAAATCTGCAAGTGGCAAAGTCAATATAACTGGATAAGTTGAACATAGTGTTGGACATTCATGTCTGTTAACCTAATAACGTAGTTGTAAAAAGTACTCCAATTTACATCATAGCCACTACCGAGGTTAATACCGACAGACAGTGTTCATTATCATATTACATAGGGCTAGTGGTTACACGAGCGTTTGTAATTTCAGCTACATAATAAAGATACATATATAAAACTAAAACTAAAATATTAACATATTCCTCAATAGTATAAACTTTATTGATTATTGTTAATAATTTAGTACAAATAACATCAATTTTCATGCTCATACATAAAATCTAATTCCCTTGCACGGAGAAAAAAATTCCTCCACCATTACATTGACTTTGATGCGAATATTTTCAAACGGTGTACTACCACATCAAAAACAAAAAACTCGCGCGCGCGTGTCCGAAACAATCGAAAATTTCTCGGTAAAACCAGCACAAATGATATTACGACTCTTTTAATTATGTCTGTTAAAAAATAATTCAATGTACGCGTGAAAATATTTCGTTCGCTCTCTCTCTCTTTTCTCGGACGACACGCGATACGCGTCAACGGGTTAACGAGGCGTCGAAGCCAATGTATATAATTCGAAATCTGGAATGTGCGTCGCTATAGAGGCGACAAAAATTGACTCCGTATTCTCTCTCTTAAAAGTCGAAAACCCGTGTATTATAATGTACGAGACGCCACGGCAATTAAAAGCCAACAACAGCTGCTTTGGTACACACATAATACTATATTACGAGACCGTAAAGATCCTAAAAGCTCATTATACGCGTTAAACCGCGAATGCAATGGACCGCTAATGGCTTCCGACGTGCTCTGCATCGAATCACGTATTATGTCAAAAAATTGTTTGGTTCGATCATAAAGTAAAAATAATAAAACAGAAGGGAAACTCGTTTCCCATATAACGCGCGGCAAAAAAGGGATACACGCGTATGTGTATTTCCGATGTCCGAGAGCGACGAACGAATTCCAGCGAGAAATTTTTGACGTTTATTAATTCGATTTATTAATTATGACACGACAGACGTCGATAGATTGAGTTATGAGTTTACACGAGCGTGTACAACGAGAAAAAAAAAATTGGTTAAATATACGTTGCGCGCAACGTCGCGTAAAAACCACGCGCGACACACACGCGGCGAAACTTTCTTGAAACGAATTTCATTGGCATGAAAGTCGAGAAAAGTACCTTTCCACAGCGACCGTGGGATATAATTAAGTAATTTTTTTGCCATTACTCGTAGTAAACATTAACTCTTTCTAACGCTATGAAATTTTACGGATCAGCAGAAATAAATTAAAATTAAGAATCTAATAATATCGTCGGGATAAAAGGGGACACGACGTCGTTCGCGGCGCATCCGAGTCGTTCATTCTTTGGGGCTCGTGACTCCGCACGTCGATACCCCTACAACAATCAAAGCGCGTGTGTCTTATATAGAGCGGGGTTTATTTATAAAAGGTAAAACGCAGTCGTAAAAGCGTCGTCGTGGCGGTAGGCATTGCACTTATATATAAGCGGCGGAGCAGAAGCTAATAAAGGTGAGAATCTCGCACTGGTCTTAGGTTCTCCGTGTCATAGGTGGGTACCGGCTATATAATAATAGGTATAGTAGTCAGGCAGGGCAGGAGTCGACTGCCGTGTGTGTGTGGCTTTAATTTCATTAAAGCCGCGCGCCGCACACAGCAGCACCTGATTCATTATCCAATATCGCGCGTCGTAAATTCGCCGACTCGGTCAACGATGCGCTACCTGCGTATACGTATATATACGCGCGAGGTATGCTGCAAATAAATTACGCGTTGTCCCGCGCAGGTGCCCAAGAAGAGGAGATGCATCGAAAGGCGATACATAATTTTTATTTTTCTTGAATGTTGCAGAAATTAAACTGATTTGTTGATCTAACGAGATGTGCGTGTAGGCGAACTCGAAAAAACTGGGTAACGGTCTTTTGACGAGTCATCGTTCGTTTGCGACTTTTTTTCCCTCTGTCTTGATATTTCGCAAAGCTCGAAGATTTATAAGCTATAAATGTTTCTGCCACGAGTGATTATACTTTAAATCATCAGATTATACACGTGATGATGAATCTGCGCGATAAAGCTAGATTAGAAAAATAATTTTCTTTGCCATTCCGGGACGCAATGATATTAACAAAAGCGCGAGTCTTCTTTGCAAACCTACATATGTAGACCGAAATCATCGTGGTGAAAGAATTTCGCTGAAACAATAGATACGACTGTATCTATATGTAACTCGTATAGATTTCCCGCGTGTGTACATTAGCAACCGATTTTAAAAATTCCTTTATTCTTTACTCTTCTCTAATCATTGTGCTAATCGATACACATGTTAACCGATTAACATTTTATCGACGCGGCCAGGCTTTATATATACCCGCGCTATTATTAGGTACGAGATATATTGTAATATTTACACGAGATCGTGAGTAATGACGAGAATAAATTTTCCAAGTGTGTCGCGTTTACATGCGCGTGTGAAAAAAAATGATCGTACGAGCGTCGATCGGCATGGATTTTATTATAATTTACGTGCCAAAAATGTCTACGCCCGCAGGACTTTATTTTAATACAGTTACTTCATTTGTTTGTTATTTACTTGCAAAAAAGTGAAGCGAAATTTTCTTCGAAAACGAGTGAGTCGTGGGAAATGTGAGATTGCGATAAACAGTCGTATAAATATGAAAAAGTCAATTTGTCAATGATAATCATGAATTCAAGTAAGAAACTAAATGATCTGAATCGGAATAAACAAAGTCGATGATTTTAGACGCTAGGTGGCTAAGCCGAACTATATTGCAAACTCGTGATCAAAACATAATACATGTTACGATAAATTAGTACGAGTTAGCGTACAATATACATTATTCACCCGAAATTCGAAAGTATAATAAACGTGCGCAGCGCCCCGAAAAATTTCAACCCGACCAAGTTTTATCCCTCAATATTAACTTAACGTCAATTTTAGTCTTAAGACGTGCACCTATTATTTCTTTACAGATTCTTTCGCTTAGTGTAAAATGACAGTATACATTCAAGAGATTCCCTCGTACGAATTAGAATATAACTTCCAATCGATCTTATTTTGCAATAAATATTGGAAATGTGTCCGGAGCACAATGGAATAATATACGTAGACAGCTGTAAGACATAATTTCCTTTGATTCGGTTAAGTGAGAACAGAGCTGACAACATTATGACAAGATCAGTCACATAATTATGTTAATTCGTTAGCCTCGAAGCGTCTTAATGACGGGCGAACATAAACTTGTCGCACATACACAGCTCGTAAACACACACATTTACGTATGATAATTTGACCATTTTTTAAAATTAATTTCAATAATTCAATATAACTCAACGCGTTATCGCACTTTGCTCTCGTTAAGCAATGAGAAAATACCTTTTTTTGATCTGCTTTCTCAAACACCAATAGGGTAAGGCTTTGTATCGTACACAGCGAAATTGCAATAAAATTGAAGATTGAATTTTTCTTTCATCATCGTCGTCGTATAGAGGCGGCACAAGCGAGTTAAGTGGTTTTGCCGTCCATTATTGTGGCCATTTAATTCGTAGATTTCACCTTTGATCCGAATACGTCGTGTGCCTCGCGCCATCGTTATTACGTTAGATCGGACGTTTTTTCTTGGAAATAGAAAAAAAAGAAGTAATTAAGGTGGTCAGCGCGGTGGAGAGATTTTTTCTGTACTTCTTTACAGGTGTTTTCAGCTCATAAATTATATTTTATTGCTGTAACATTTTCAACCTTAGATGACGCAAAACGACATATCGAGTAAATTTATCGAAAATATAAGTACCAAATGTATCCAAGTAATCTCCTAGATACTTAAACAGTTTAAAAAATTGAAGTCTTTTTCAAATGGATTGTAATAAATTCTAGATTAGAAACTGAAAATGTTTTTCTTTATCGAAACAAAATAAATCTCAATTAGCGCATAAAATTAAATCCAGCCTAAATAAACAATAAGAAAATCATATAAGCAAATTTCCAATCTCGGATCGACGCACTGATTGATCCTGATTTCGAGCGCAGTGGCACACGCCTGTCTCACACATACTTAAGCTCACAGCTCACGGCAGAACAATGAATTGTAATTGTAGCATTGATCGTTCATTACAAACTTAATGAACTGCGTAATGGAGCCTTGGGCACAAAAGTATCATTCATTTGTATTTCAAAGTATAATGGTTAACCCCTGAGAAAATTTAGATCCGAAAAAACGCCAGTCACTCCGTTAATCGACATCAAATGTGTGAAGTAAATTCTGTACCTGTGAAACGATGATCTTTGGTATTAGTGGATCATTAAGTATGATCCTTTCATACTCGACAAAGAAGTTGAAAACATTTAGTCTCAAATACCCGTATTAATCCACACTGAGCGAACAGTTCACTATAAACCGCTGTGCGCGCCAACGGCGCCACATCGAAACACCATGCGCAAACTGATTTTCGCCATGCGTGCACTATCTTTGTTTCGGCCGAGTTCCCCTCTACAATTATCGTGCGGCTATCATGGTCATTCCTCGTGTACGCACTTGATTTTGCCGTGCAGAGACCGCGGATTTGGCGGGCATTACACCGTCGTCTCGTGGTATACGCAGCGTGCTTAACCTACGACGCAATTTTACTTGTGTTCTAGTATTATTGTGATTGTGATTGGACTTGTTTTATAGTATTGTTATGATAGTGATTGGATATTTATATTATTATGGATCCATCTATTAACTCATTACTAACAAGTTGGATGCTGGATGACTTGTCATATTATATGCTTCGTAAGTAAACTTTAACATTTTCAAAGTCATTTCATCTAATCATTGATTTTATCATGTTCGATCGTGTTTTACAGTTCATGAAATTACTTACGAGGAATTTATTAATTTAAGTAAAAGCAAAATAGACTTAATAGTACCTGATAGCCACAGTACATCTAGGAATAAACTTAATAATGTATTAGAACTGTATCGAAAAACTTTGAATTCTCAAAAACCGGTTCTCGCAGATGTATCAAATCTCAATCAAAATGCTTCTAGTAACGATTGCTATTACGAAACTTCTAAAGTCCCTACTGAAAGAGATAAATTTAAAGATTATCAAGATTTTTATACACAAAGTAATTTCTACTCAAAATTTCTATCTCTTTCACTTTTGAAATTTGCACATTATTTACTAATGATATTTTCTTATATACTCATTCATAGTACAAAAAAATAAAAGAATGTACAAATTATTACATCATGCTGATTGCTTATGGGGCAGTATTATTCTATATATGTATGCTTATCAGGGCAACATTTCATCATTGAGGGACGAGCTGAGTAAAATATTAGTGGATGCAGAGCTTGATAAAACAAAAGAGAGTACACTACCATTTCAGTAAGAATTTCAAAAATCCTTTTTATTCAAGTTATTTAGTTAAACGTTTATAACACCTGTGTTTATTTTAATTTCAACAGCATTCCCTCTAAGGTGTTCCAAAGTCTCAGTCAAGAAATAGTAGATTTTTTCCCATGTGAAGAAAAAAAAGTATATTATGATTGTAGCTATACTTTATCAAAAGAAAACAGATTAAGTAATAATACTAATACTAAAAATAAAAAAGGAAGAGTAAATGCTACAGGAAAACTACAAAATGCTTATTCAGCAAGGCGAGGTCACATCGAAAAAAAAACAAATTTATTGATAAATCTACACCCTCAAGTGACACAAGTAAAAACTGATACGCCTACTTTTACTGGTATTGAATTGAAAATTTTTAAACATTTTATGTGATCAATGTGGTATTAAATCTATATTTTTTATAATATTTATAGCATCTGAGACATTATTGGACATAAATTGTCTGCTGAATAAGCCGGAGGATTTAAGTGACAGTGAGAAATACCACATAATAGAGAATTGGATGACATCTTACAGCTACAGGAAACAAACATACACTGAAAAAGGACTAGATTTGATTAAAAAATTAAAAGTTTTAGAGACAGATCTTGCATATCAATTGGTGAGTAATTCATTTATTGTAATATTGATAATTTTATCCTAAGTCATGTGAATTATGAATTTCAGATTTCATATGATTTCAAAAAAACTTTTGATGAGGCAGAGAAATTTCATAAAAATCTTTTGACTGAATGGGCTCAAAGCGCTGAATTTCTTGTTCAGTACGCAAAAAGTTTAAGCGAAAACACTGTAAAGTTTGATGTCCCTGAATTAAATGGTAATTACATCAAAGTCGATTACTCAAACTTGGATGATGTTTTTCTCAAAATAAAAATTTCAACAGATGGGAATGGTGAGTTGTATTTTGTATGAGAGAGCACAAGCAAAACCGTTTGAAACATCTCATCAAATGTCATTCTTTTAGGAGTAGCTGATACATTGGCTTTTCTCATTTTACCTGCCCTCATCAAACACACTTTCCGATCCAACCAGAGCAGTGGTACATGGAAAATCACTAAAGAGAAAAGCACCGATTCATTTATGCAACACATAAAAGTAAATAAATATTTCGCTGATATACGTACATCATTTTCAACGGTCTCTAATGTAAATATTATTTCAGGACCACGAATTATTGGATACGATAAAAAATGACTATTCTAAGTTTCTACAATCACATTCAGTGCAGGAACCGCAACCATATGTAGTTTGCTGTGGCCCATTGGATGCTCTAACTTGCGTTCATGCAGTTGTAGGTGATATCGTGTATGATTTTACCACGGCGACCGAAGCAGTCGATTTTTTGTACAAAACGTTGCGCGTCTTGGATATTCAATACCCTGTTGGATGCCCTCATGTTTGGTCGTACTTCCAGCTCATTTTTAATCAAAAAGATCGCAGAGTCATTGCGAAAAACAAGTGCCTTGAATTAGATGCAGATATAAAAGAATTGAAGAATAAAAGGCAAAGAACCAAATAGGTTTTAAAATTAAGAAATTTTTAGTAACTTAATCGTTTTTCGACTTTTATGCACTGTAGTATAACTAAATTTTATTCATTAAGTTAGTAAAATGGATCTAGATTTAGAAGTAGGCCGATTAGTGAGTAAATTATACGAGAATCCTAGGTTCACTTTAAGCGACGTGGATTTCGTTATTAATACATTTCGAGATTATATAAAAAACGATTACAATCCGTCATTAATGAACAAAATAAATTCATCAATACATGAAGCTGTAAGTGACGAAGCACAAACGGAAATAAACCATGTTTTCAACAATCTAGAAGATACTTTTGAAAATGTCAGTTCTGAATATAATCGTGAAAAACTATTCAGAGACTTAGGTTTTAATATAGACGCAGACTTCGTTCCGATTGGAGAGACAGAAAATTTTGTAATAATTGATAATGGTACAGTTGTTAAGAAAAAAAAACCGGTAAAGATGGTTCACATTTCTTTAAGAAAATCATTAACCGACTTGCTGAATATCGACGGATTGTTTCCAGCAATATTAGCTTATATTTCTACTTTAAATGAGTCATCAGTTATGAGTAATTTTTTACAAGGAGAGTTATGGAAAGAGCAATTAAAGAATTTTAGTGAATCTAAAAGTGAATATGATTTGGCTCTTCCTTTATTCGGGTACCACGACGATGTAGAAATCGGCAACGCTCTAGGTCCGCACGCGGGCACTAATAAAATAGGAGTATTTTATGCAGTCCTACCTTTTCTACCACCAGGTCTTGCCTCTAAATTAATCAGTATTCTCATAGTTGATTTATTTTATGCAAATGATAGGAAAAAATATGGCAATGAAAAAATTTTCTGTACTACGATAGATGAATTGAATGATCTCAGGTTAAATCCAGTGACTATAATTGTAGGCAATATTAGCTACCGTGTTTATTTTATTACAAGTCTCATTATTGGAGACAACCTTGGCCTCAATGGCATTTTCGGCTTCACAGAATCTTTTGGAAATACTATTTGTTGTCGATGTTGCTTCGCAGATCCTTGTCGTATGCAAAAAATGATTCGAGAAGACAGACATTTGATTCGAAATCTATTAAATTATGAGGCACAATTGAAAGACAAACAGCTTAGCGTTTCAGGCATAAAAGACGAATGTATTTTCAATAGAATAATTCAGTTTCATGTGACTCAAAATCAATATTTAGACATCCTTCATGATGTTTTTGAGGGCGTAGTCAGTTATGTCATGGCATTTATTCTAACCGTTTTCATCACGGTTGACAAATTTTTTACTATAGATTATCTCAACTTCAAATTAAAAAATTGTCAGTTTGACTTCGAATCAAATAATCTCCCATCAGCGATAAGTTTAGATTATATAAATGCGAATGGAAAGCTAAAAATGTCTGGTGCTGAAGCGTTATTTTTTGTTCGTTATTTTAACATTATGGTTGGATCTAAAATACCTGAAGATAATGAAACTTGGAAGCTTTATTTAAAGCTAAGAGAAATCGTTTACATCATTACAGCCCCAGCGATAACAGAATCACATATACTGCAATTAGAGGATGCTATAGCTGAACATCATTCCTTGTACATTTTTTTAAATGGTAATCTAAAAAAGAAGTTTCATTTTATGGTTCACTATCCACGTCTTATACGTTCCGTCGGACCCTTGATGAATTGTTCAACAATGAGATGTGAATCAAAGCATCGGTTATTGAAAGATTTGTTGTCGGGTAATGCTTGTAAAATAAATACTTTGAAAAGTTTGGCTAATAGATATTTATTAGCCAATATGTCTATAAATTATATCAAATATCAAGACGTTGATATTTCCTTTGGAAAACAAAAAAAGGAAAATTTTTTTCAAAATGGGAGAAGTTGTACAAAATTCACTCTTACTTATGTAAAAGTAAATAATTTTAAATATAGCCCTGATTCTGTAATAATTACAAGCATTTCAGACGATTTTCCAGAATTTGGAAGAATAGAAACTATCTACTTATTACCAAATGACGAAGTAGAATTTTTATACAAGCCATTAAAAGCTATTGGGACAGACAGTCATTATGATGCGCATATAATATATGAATGCGAGGAATTGAAATGTATTTCATATAATAATTTACCGGTTAGAAGCCCTTGTATTACTTTTAAGCCTGACAATTATAAAAATTTACTTGTAGCAACAAGACATATATTTTAAAAATTATAATTTAAAATTGTTCAAATTTATAGAAAAAATAAAAAATAATAAAATAAGAATGTTTTTATTTATAATTAATCATTTCTAAATAACTATAGACTAAGCACATCTTGAGTTTGACTTTGCAACAACATTTGCGGCGTATTTCAACTCCCAGCATTTGGTCGAGCGCTTGCTATACAAGCGCATGCAGAATTGCTGTGCTCTGCACGGGAAAAAGCCGTGCGCCCTACGCACTATGATTCAATGGTTACGACGCGCGGGCGTTTACGAGTTGTGCATAATAAATTGTAGAGGGGGCACGGTGATTTTAAGTTTACACGGACCACTTGAATGAAGGTGGCGCTCTGCACGGTCAATAGTTGTGAACTGTTTTCTCAGTGCATTGTCATCGTTCCTTCATTAATTGTTCGAATAACTCCCCAGAAAAAAAATCAAATCAGAAACTTTTTTGATTTTCTCTCTATTTTCATCGAAAGGCATTCAGGATAGAAATTTTCCGCTCCACCGCGCAATCCTCTCTCTCTCTCTCTCTTTCTCTGCACGCTCCGAGTCGAGAGAAAATATTTATTCCCCGGCAAACGAGGCCAATTTATCCGTGCGATAGCGCGTGTATACGTATTCATGCCATTGCCGCCGCCGCTGCTGCTGTGGGTGTGGGTGGGTACGCGAGCAGGGCACGAGGCGGGGGGGAAGGGGGGGGGGCAGAGTCGGATAAAGGCGATGATATCGTTTGACGAGCGACGCCATACTGTCTTCCGCCCGACGCAATTGGTCGCGATAGCGATAAGATTACAAAAGGAGTAGTATAACAGAAGCAGCAGCGGCGGCGGCGGCGGGGAACAGACGCGGTGCGGGCGATATAGTGGAGGCGGCAGTGGCGGAGGGGGACATAATACACGGCGTACGCGCAAGCGCCACACGGCCAAGCCTTTGGCTATACATGAGAGTCTCGACGAAATATCCGCTCGCTCTTCGTGCCTAGGGAGGTCGCTCGGCTATTCATAGAATTCACGCGCGAAGGAGGAAGGGGAAAGAGGAGGAAGAGGAGAGAGAGAGAGAGAGAGAAAAAGAGAGCTGAAAAGGGGCTTTATCGACTTGGAAGGCAGGAGATAAGCTTCGTGCTTAGATACAGGCGAATAACAAGCGCGATGAACTGGACGCTTTATTTTTCGGCTTGTATTATATTGCATTATCGTGTATTATACATACACTTCTGCTTTTCTTCTTTCATTTTGTGCATCGATATCATTCGTCGAGACTCGAGCTGGATATTATAATCCATTATAGCAGTTTCTTAGTACGTAATAATCATATTAAAAGAGATAGAGAAAATTACGAGTGTCTCTCGAAATACCCTTTTTCATCCTCGAAATCCTAAAATCACGATTATTAGAAATCAGTCCTCGCGATGCAAACGATACCCTCAAACCATTTATCTAAAATTGCTCCGTACTTGATTTATACTTGTATCGCGCTTACACCGACATCATGTGCAGCGTTATAATGCGTGTGTAATAGCCGCGCGCGTCGATCTCGAAGTGGAAGCAGCTGAGTGTCTCGCGTCGACCGAATCATCAATCAATCGCAGCCCGACGAAAGATCGGACTCGTTCGCGTGTTTTTTTATTTTTTATCCATTCGCTTTGAAACGTAATCACGACGCTCGATTATGCGGTTACATAAAAAAACACTCGAGCAATTTATATGCGTGAACCCGTGAAATGTAAAAGATTTTTGGAATCCAGCGAGGACTCTGTAATTGAAAATTATGGTTTCGTGCGCGTATACGATTACTCGGAATTATGAGCGACATAAGAGTTCTCGCGTACGTTTAAAAAGTACAGTAAACCCGAACGAGTTCTCGCCGATTACAAGCACAATAACGCAACGCTCAACTAACTCATCGACGAGCTATACCCGATTTTACGCGTATGAAATCATGTTCCCTCTAATCCGTCGTGCATACAATACATCCGCGTACTTTTCTCCTATTATTTTATATATCCCGACACACATACAGTGTTTCTACATAATATCGCAGTGCATAAACACGAGGCATCCTTATCCCGAAATAAGGATAAAAATAAAAGCTCTCATTCGAGCGAGCTGGCTCTGACTGTGGCGCTTGCCAAAACTTATATACACGGGCGAGCGTGGCGTATATATAAGCACAGCGTATAAAGGATCCTACAGCTTGGGCCAAGCTCGCAGCACAGCACAGCAGCCTGATTTATGGATTCCACATTCATTCCCTTCGCGTAGCGCGATAACGCGAAATTGCCTTCTCGGTAATGGCTCCGGCGTATATATAACCGAGAAGAGAGAGAGAAGTATCTTGACTCGCGTCACGATTCTGCATCGCGATCGCTTTTCTTCCATCCCCGAGCGAGCGTCGAATTGGCCAAGTATATGATCTGAAAATTTTGGACTTATGTTTGGGATGGTGTATACAATTTTATTCTGCTGTTTTTTAAACTGTAATTATTTACAAAATTGAAAGTTGATTTAAATAAGGATAGTGTATTTTAGGATACTCGACTCAAAAAAATGTGCAAGCCTACCAACACTCAGACTCTTATTTATCAAAAATGTACACGGACAGAGGAAGAAGGAAGAAGGGCCAGAGTATCTATACTATGCAGAGAAGCCGAGGGCAAAAGGAGGAGGCTATATACAGCGTGATAATGGTACGTATGATGGGGTTGCTGTCGTGTTTCGCCCGTGCCAGCTATATGTACGCGTTTCCATGACGACCTACAGCGGCAGCAGCAGCAGCACGACCAAGAGAGCGCCAAGAACTTTGTACGAGGGAAGGAAGGAAAGGGAGGCTATACATACTATGCCAGAAGATGCCTCGCGACGCCAAGTCCTCCTCCCTTCTTCGGACTTTCGGCG